AGATAAGACTTAGAAACAGATAATTTGATTCCACTAGTCTGGGAATTTGAAGACTCCCAAGTTTGTGTTCTGCTTGTATAATTATCTTTGTGGTCACTTAACATTTCTGTCCTTATCTGTAAAATGGGAACAAAGTCTACTTGACAGGATTGTTACATTATCTTAGCCACCTCCGGGTTCTCTTTGGCTGAGTGATTGACTGGAAAATCCCACCTGAATTCATGCTTCAGGTCAGGTTCTGCATGAGTGTGATCATCCATCCATCCATCCATCCATCCATCCATCCATCCCTGTGTGGTTTTTAGAATTTAGATCATGAACTGCCCCCGATGCAGTGATGTTTCTAAATTCTTCATTTTTTTCTTTCTCTTTTTAAACCATGTCCACTACCTCACATTGTTGAATTATAATTTCATGAGTAATTGAGCCTTTTCATAACCTCTTATGTGGATGCGATAAGATCATCTTTTCTGAGTGCTTACATCATGCAAAACTATGATGTACATGAGGTGACTTATTTTTCCAAGTATATTATTCATTTTGAGAAGACTCAATAGAACATTTTTATTTATGGGGAGATAGCTCATATTCTATCTTGAATATAATTTAAACTTTGTGGGCCAGATTTTCTTAAAAAAATTTTTTTTGATGTTTATTTTTGAAAGAGAGAGAGAAAGAGAGCGCACAAGCAGGGGAGGGGCAGAGAGAGAGGGAGCAAAGGATCCAAAGAGGGCTCTGTGCTGACAGCAGACAGCCCGATGTGGAGCTTGAACTCAACGAACTGAGAGATCATGGCCCGAGTCGAAGTCAGATGCTTAACTGACTGAGCCACCTAGGTACCCCCATGGGTCAGATTTATCTTTAAAGATATTTTTCATAAAGCTCAACTCATACATTTTATTTTATTTTGTTTTTTTGTTTTTTCTTTAAGATTATTATTATTTTTTAATTCTTAGTGTTTACTTATTTTTGAGAGAGAGACAGAGACAGAGTGTGAGTGAAGGAAGGGCAGAAAGAGAGGGAGACACAGAATCTGAAGCAGGTTCCAGGTTCTGAGCTGTCAGCACAGAGCCTGACATGGGGCTTGAACTCACAAACCATGAGATCATGACCTGAGCCAAAGTCGGATGCTTAACCAACTGAGCCCCCAGGTGTCCCATAAGATTTTTTAAGTATAAGTAATCTCTATAGCCAATGTGGGGCTCAAACTTATAACCCTGAGACCAAGAGTTGCATGCTTCACTGACTGAGCTAACCAGGCGCCCCATCAACTCATACATTTTTTTTTGTTTTGTTTTATTTATTTTGAGAGAGAGAGTACAAGCGTGTGCTCAGGGGATGGCCAGAGAGAGTGGGAGAGAGAGAATCCCAAGCAATCTCTGCGCTAATTTAGTGCAGAGCCCAATGTGGGGCTTGATCTCATGAACCATGAGATTATGACCTGAGCCAAAACCGAAAGAGGGACGCTTAACTGACTGACCCACCCAGGCTTCCCAACTCAGACATTTTAAAAATTAATAGACTATATATATATATATATATATATATATATATATATATATGCATATATTTTTTAGAGCCATTTTAGGTTTATAGAAAAATAGAGCAGAAAGTACAGAGTTCCCATATACCCTCTCCTCTCTCTCCCCCAGAGATTCTTCAGTTATGAACATCCTGCATTAGTGTGCTGTACATTTGTTACTATTGATGAGCCAGTATATATATGTTTTTAAATACAATTTTTTAAAGTTCATTTATTTTTAAGAGAGAGAGAGAGAGAGAGACAGAGAGAGACAGAGCATGAGTGGGGGAGGGGCAGGGAGAGAGGGAGACACAGAATCTGAAGCAGGTCCCAGGCTCTGAGCTGTCAGCACAGAGCCTGACGTGGGGCTTGAACCCATGAACCGTGAGATCGTGACCCTGACCGAAGTCAGACACTTAACTGACTGAGCCACCCAGGTGCCCCAATCTCTATACCATATATGGGGCTTGAACTCACAACCCCAAGATCAAGAGTCCAAGCTCCACTGACTGAGCCAGCCAGGTGCCCCTTGAGCCAATATTGATACTTTATTAACGGGAAGCCTACAGTTAACATTAGAGTTCACTTTGTTACACGTTCTGTGGATTTTGACAAATGGATGAAGACTTGTATCCTCCATTACAGTGTCACATAAAGTAATCTCACTGCCCAAAAAATCCCGTGCTCCCAAACCGTCTCATCCCTCTCCCAAACCACTGGCAGCCAGATCGTTTTTACTGTCTCCATAGTTTTGTCTTTTCCAGAATACCATATAGATGGAATTAGACAGTGTGTACCAATTTCAGAGTGCCTTCCTTCGCTTGGCAACGCTCCCTGTCTTTTTGTGGCTTGATAGTCTCGTTTCTTTGTATTGCTGATTAATACTCCATTATCTCTGTGTACCACAGTTTGTTTATCCACTCACCTATTGAAGGACATCTTGATTGATTCCAAGTTTGGGCAATTATGAATAAAGCTGCTATAAATATTCATGTGCAGGTTTTTGTGTAGATACACATTTTCAGCTAATTTGGTTAAATACCAAGGATCACGATTGCTAGATCATATGTTAAGAGTATGTTTAGTTTTATAAGAAACTGCTAAACTATCTTCCTAAGTGTCTGTACCATTTTGCATTCTCGCCAACAATGAATGAGCATTTGCTGTTGTCAGTATTTTGGATTCCGACCATTTTTTTTTTTAAGTTTTTTAAGTTTTTTATTTATTTTTGAGAGAGAGAGAGAAAGAGAGCTAGTGAACGCAGGCGCGAGCACAAGCAAGGGAGGGGCAGAGAGAAGGAGAGACAATCCCAAGCAGGCTCCACACCATCAGCCCAGAGCCCGATGCGGGGCTCGAACTCACAAACTGTGAGATCATGACCTGAGCTGAGATCAAGAGTTGGATGCTTAACTTACTGCACCACCCAGGTGCCCCAGATTTTGACCATTCTAATAAGGGTGTAGTGGTATCATTGTTTTAATTTGCAGTTCCCTATGGGTGTATGATGAAGAGCATCTTTTCATATGCATATTTGCCATGGGTATTTCTTTGGTGAGATGCCTGTTCAGATGTTTTGCCCATTTTTAAGTTGGGTTGTTTTTTTAAGAGAGTTTTAAGAGTTCTATGTATATTTTGGATGTATTTAATTTTTCTTCCTTAAAACGTTTTTAACTGGCATAAATATCTCTTCTGGAATTCAAGCTCATACAGAAACAAATTTGGGGATGCTTATGGTTAGAGTACTGAGGACAATGAAATGAAGTACTTGCCTCCCTCCTCCCCCTAAATTTAATTTTCAGAACCTCCTGGGTCTAGGGCTGGCCAGAGGGCCATAGTCCAGAGTACAGATTTAAATACTGATCTTTATGGTTAATCTCTCTGCTGTTACATGTAATACGTTGGATAGTGTTGATTCCTTCTTAAGACCTGAACATTTCTGACCCTAGGTAGATTGGAATAGTGGAGAAATTCTGGAGATTTCTAAATCTCTTGAGGGAGAATAATCATGATCTCTAGAGATCATTCTTCTTGGGCCCTTTTAAATTACTTATTGGGATGCCTGTGTGGCTCAGTTGGTTGAGCGTCCGACTTCGGTTCAGGTTATGATCTCATGGTTTGTGAGTTCAAGCCCCACGTCAGGCTCTGTGCTGACAGTTCACAGCCTGGAGCCTGCTTTGGATCCCGTGTCTCTCTCTCTCTGCCCCTCCCCTGCTCATGCTCTGTCTCTCTCTCTCTCTCTCTCTCTCTCAAAAATAAATAAAAACATTTAAAAAATTTAAAAAAATTACTTTGTGTGTGTCAGATTAAGTGACAAAAGTGAAAAAATAGTCTTCCAGTGGGACTTTTCTTTTAGGAAGAAAAGTAACAAGAGTGGGTTGAGTACCTTTGTGATCTTGATGAATTTATCTTGGGGTTCAGAAACATTAACCTAATTGATGGAAAGACTAGGTATGGTGGGCTGGAGTATTACCAGAGACTTCTGCAGTACCACATTGGATGGGTTCTGTCACCATTTTGCTCACCCTTTTAGTGATATTGGACACAAGTGAACACCTTTTTTCTTTAATTTTTTTAAATGTTTATTCTTGAGAGACAGAGACATGGCACGAATGGAGGAGGGGCAGAGAGAGAGGGAGACACAGAATCCGAAGCAGGCTCCAGGCTCTGAGCTGTCAGCACAGAGCCCGACGCGGGGCTGGAACTCATGAGCTGTGAGATCATGATCTGAGCCGAAGCCGGACACCGACTGGGTGGCTGACTGAGCCACCCAGGAGCCCCAAATAACCTTTTTTCTTTAAACACTGTGGGGGTGCCTGGGTGGCTGAGTTGGTTGAGCAGCTGCCCATATTTCTCAAATGTCTAAATGTATCTCTCTCTCTCTCTCTCTCTCCCCCCCCCTCCCTCCCTCTGCCCCTCTCCCCTGCTCTTACTCTCTCTCTCTCACAAAACGAAATGAAATGAAATGGCTTCTGTGACAGCCTATTCCTCTGGTTTTTCTTTGTCTTACTGGGCTTTCCCAGCTTCCTTTCCTGGTTCATCCTCTACCTGAACACTCATGTTTGAAGGACCTCAGGCCTCCGTCTGGGGCTTTCTTTTCCTTCCTTCTTCTATATTCTGTCCCCAGGTTATCTCATCCATTATTGTGGCTTTAAACATCATCTCCATTCTGATGATTACCAGGGGTGTACTCCCAACCTGGGCCTCTCCAGGCTCCCGATCCCTGTGTCCTGCTGCCTACCTGACATTTCCCCTCAGACAGCTTGGTGTTGTCTCCCGTGCATCTTGCCTAAAACACAACTCTTAAAGTTTCTTGTCACAAGCTTGTGCTGTTCTCCCCACTCAGTTTTCCCCAGTCGAAGTAAATGGCATCATCATGTACCCCGTTGTGCAAACCCCAAATCTGGGAATCTCTTTCATTTCCCTGTTTCCTCATACCCCTGCTTCTCTTCAAGTCATCTGCAAATCCTGTCAGCGTTACCTCTGAAGTTTTCTTAAATTCCTGTTCTTGTCTCATCCTGACTTCTGTTCCAGCTCTGTGGTAGACTGGATACACTGAAAACCCTGTTGTGCAAAACACCAAGAAATGCTAGATAAACTGAGCGTTCAAAAAAAAAAACTGGGGAAACCTACAGAGGCAAAAAGCAAATGGAACCTTACCAAAAGGAGAAGACAACGGCTTAACATGGGGTTGGGAGTGTGGCATTTATCTATGTCTTTACCAAGGAGTTTTAGTTTAAAGGCCACTCTGGGCAGGAGACCAGGCCTTTGGTCTTGGTGAGGAGTTGGAGCAGCCAAGTCTCCTAAGGGATGCCTGGGTGGCTCAGTTGGTTAAGCCACACTTCGGCTCAGGTCGTGATCTCACAGTTCATGGTTCGGGAGTTCGAGCACTGCATGGGGCTCTGTGCTGACAGCTCAGAGTCTGGAGCCTGCTTCGGATTCTGTCTCCCTCTCCACCTGCCCCTCCCCCGCATGCACTTTGTCTCTCAAAAATAAATAAACATTAAAAAAAAAAAAAAAAAGAATTCCTATGCACACGCCTGCCATTTTAACATTTGAATTTACACTGTCTTTTTGGTCCTGGAAACTCGAAGCTAAGGTTTTAACATCAAGAGGTCTGTTTTCCTTTAGAAGCCAGGACAAATAGTTACTTCCTCCAAGATGCCTTCCCTGACTATCTACAGCATGCCAGCCTGACCCCAGTCACTCACTATCCTGTCATCTTACTGCTCTTATCACAAGTGGTAATTACTTCCTTATTTACTGGTCTGTCTTCCTCCATCTCAAGGAGGGCAGAGACCTGTTTCGTTCGTCACTCCATACCTGGCTCTTGGTTCCTGACTGGTGTGTTTTTCTTTTCTGAATGAACAGATGGATGAATGAGTGAAGTAAGGAGGTTCCTTCCGAGGGACGATGAAAGGCTGGCACCTACATTTTATTTTATCTTGGCATTAAGCATTTCACTTGAAAACAGAATTATGATTCTTACCCACAAATGCATATCAATAATTTAGAAATTGAAGACGTTGACTTACATCGCAAACAACAGTCCTCTGTCCCACTCCTCCTTACTTCTAAGCAGAGTGCTTCCCAGATTGCCACTTTCCAAGTATTGGGCTTTTTCTGCTCCTATTTACTTTCGTGCTTTTCAGTAATATGCTTACACTGCCGTTTTTGACCTATCAAAATTTTAGATACTGTTTAACTTCCTGCTGTCATTGGTGAGGATGTATTTCTTTCGCCACCACTGTTCCTTCCCATCCCTTATAGTAGAGTGGTCATAAGTTTTAATCCACTGGGGCTAAACTGCCAACGATGTGTATTATTTTGACTAAGTATTGCTCACTGGTAAGCCAAGCAGCGTATTACGATTGCGTTTCCTTTCATATACAAATATTTGTTTTTTTCCTGGAGTTAATATTTTTATTTTTAAAACTTGCTTAGTTTTCTTTATATCTACTGCCAACTTCCCCCAAATGCTCTGGCAGGTTTCTCAAATGCCTGGCAGTTTACTTCAAATGCTTAAACACACTGGCCATCCAGTCTTTATTTTCTTGGCAATCACCCCCACCCCCATCCCTGTCCTGCTACAGTCAGGGTCTCCAATGTTGGATTCCCTTTTTCCCAGATCCCCTGTCGTCTTCATTTGCTGAAGCACACATTCCAGTAACATGCTATCAAGAAAAGGTGTGTGGAAAGTCAGTTTTTTGAGTACCTGAGTTATCCGAAATATCTTTTATTTTTCTTCGCACTTGAATGCTTATTTGGGCATCACATCATTTGCTCATCATTCTGAAGGCCTTGCTGGCTCAGTTGGCTTTGAATCTTTCAGTGTTTGTGCCGAAAGTCGATGCTGTTCTGATTTCTGATCTTCTCCAAGAGACCCGGTTCTTTTCTCTGGAAGCTTGTATAACTTATTTTCTGTGTTGAAATCTCCCTGGATGTGCCTTAGTGTGGGTCAGTTTTCATTCATTGGACTGGGTAGTAGATGGGCCCCTTTCCATCTGGAAAGGGAAATTCTTATTCTTTCTTTTGATAATTCCTGCCTTACCATTTTTCCCTTCTCTTTTTCTGGGAATCCTCTTGGTCAGATATTGGATCATCAGAGTTTTGTTTTGTCTCCCCTCTGCTTCTGTATTCCACCTTTTTTGTTTTAGAGTATCTTCTAGGATGTTTCCTTGGCTCTATATTTCAAGCCATCTACTTAATTTTAAGTTTGGCTGTCATTTTCAATTTCCAGAGTCCTTTTTCAGTTATCATTGTCTTTTTCATCTTTATTTTCATCCTAATCCTGTTTAATGTGTCTAACTTGTCTCTCTGAAGGTTTCATAGTTTTGTGAAATGTTTATATGCTCCTAGTATTCTCCGATTCTTGGGTTCCTCTTGTGTTCATCTCTCTCTCCCTTCTCCCCTCTCTCTGTCTCTCTGTCTCGCTCTCTTTCTCTCTCACGTTGGAGGTTTTCTTCAAAAGTGTGGTAGTTCTTAGAGTTACCTGGCTGGCTTAGTTGATAGAGCATGTGACTCTTGATCTCGGGGTTGTGAGTTCAAGTCCCATGTTGGACTTAGAGCTTACTTGAAACAAAAAGTGTAGTACTTTTTAGTTCTTAGTTCAAGTTGAATGGTCTTATGTGCTTGTCGAGCTTCACTGTGGAGTGATTGGGGAAAGCCCTGGCTGCCGGGATTCTGGGACCTGATGTATGTAGCTTCTCACCTAATCTCTGTTGTTTTAGTTCAGTGAACATCTCGCCCTCATCTGTGTCTGTCCCCAGGTCTGTACTTGGCTTTCTCCAGACAGTAAGTACTCTGTCTCTTGTTGGGTTCAGAGAGAGGTAGTTATTTGGGGGAGTTTCAATAACACAGATTTTTCAGTGAGTTCTCTTATTTTCAGCTAAACATTTCATCCCTGCCATCAACCGTACCTACCCTCTCTAACTTTGAACTTTTGGGGGGGTCATACAGTGTACCTCTGGTTAGAAATCCCTTCTGCAGGCACTTACTATTTAGTTTTCTCAGCTGTTCTAGGTCAGTGATCATGTCTCCACTTTCTGGATTCCAGAACTTTATTGATAGCTTTTGTCCACTGTTACGTCATTTCCCATTCTTTGTCCTTGTGGGTTTATACCCACTGCCCCTGCTTTACTACCACTTTCGTGAGGTTTTGGATCATGGTGAACCAAGAGACCTATGTCATGTTCTCTGGAGCACTTGTGTGTTTGCACATGCTAATTCCCAGTGCCGAGACTGGTTACCCCTTCCTCTCTAGCGTTACCATTTCTCCTGGAGAGACTATACCTTGTAAAGTATCTGCCTTCTCATGTCCATTTACATGTAATTTCCATGTACATGTAATTATCTTGTTACATGTCTGCTCTTCTTTCAAAACCATATCTTCTTTGACAGTACAGACCAGATTGTACAACTCCCACGAGCACTATTTGCCTTGTTTTAGAGTTGTGTGGCCCCCGACGTTGTACATTCCTCTTGCTCTGCTGGGGACTATGAATTCTCCAGTTTTCTGTCCCTCGTGGCTTGGCAGAGGCACTCAAGTGTTTAGGGAACCAGTGACACCTTTACATGTGTCCTCCTAAATGTCACAGATGGGCCAGAAAACCTGTGAGATGGTATAATATATACCAGGGTGGCCATAGTTAATAATACTGTATTGTATTATTAAGAGAATAGATCTTAAACGTTCTCATCTCAAGAAAAAACATTAGCTGAGCTTCTGGTGGTCATTTCACAATATCAAACCATTAGTTCGTGCACCTAAAAGTAACATGATGTGTTGTGTCAATTATATCTCAGTAACACTGAGCAACAAGGAAAGAAAACCTCTGAGAAATGATGCATTTTGTTTCTGTGCATTTTTCTCTGGTGAGGTCACATTTATGTGGTCAACTTTTTTTTTTTTTTTTTTTAAGCCCAAAAACAAAATACCTCTTCAAGAGAATAACAACCATGACCCTCATTTTCTGCCTGGGTAGATGATTTTCTCTTTGCAGTCAGTCGTCTTTTCCTCTCTAACCACATTTCTTCCAGTTATAAAGTTTAAGGCTTGATCCACTCCTTGCCTCTTAAGTCATAGTGTGGTGGAAAGAACCGGAAACTAAGTCAAGAGGCTGCCTGCTGGATTTTGTTCCCGACGCTCACGTCAATGGTCTGTTTCCATGTCTGTAAAGTGAGCAGGTTGGATTTTATATATTTTAAGAGCTCTTGAACAACAATAGCAGAAATGTTTTTTTGTTATTGAGTTGGAGCCCAAGTGTCTTGAGGGCAAAGCATTGAAGAGCAGGCAATTGATTTACTGTGTAAAGCAGTTTACTATGACTGTAGGTTGGGTCTTAGACCTTTTACTTTGGGAATATCTCAAAATAAACTTACTCATCCAAGTGTTTTTCTGTTTTCTGAGATGCCTTATTTCAGTGTCTGTATGTCAATATTAAGTTAGGCTGTAATTTCTTAGATTCCCAGATAACTACCAACAGGCACATGCCATGAAATATACCCTCTTTTAGGTGATATCAGGGTGCTAAAGTCTCATTATTGCATTTAAGGAGAAACGACTATATCCGTTTAACTTTATTATATTTTATTTTTTTAAGGTTTTTTTCAAATTTTATTTTAGTTTTGTTTCCTTAAGCAATCTCTAAGACCACCACAGGGCTTGAACTCACAATCCCGAGATCAAAGAGTCCCATGTTCCACCAACCGAGCCAGCCAGGTGTCCCTAGCTTTGTATTTCAAAAATTTTTCTTCTGAGGCTTGCGTTTTAATATAAGCTCTTCTTTTGGGAAATTTTGTCATTTGCTTGTCTCTTCTGGTAAATCTGCATGAATCATTGCACCTATTAGCTCATGCTGAAGGAAGACCAGTGTATGTTCTTCCATGAAGTTCATTAGCTTTTTAAGGGATTTCAGTCTTCTCTGTGCTAGAAGAATGTTGCAGATTAAAACACACACACACACACACACACACACACACACACACACACACTTATATAATTTTCATTCATTTAGTCAACAGATGTTTGAACATCCTGTAGGTACTGGGGAAGTAGCAGTGAGCAAAAGAGAGTCTTTGCTCTTGTGCAGCTTACATCCCCTAGCAGGCGGCGGCGGAAGGAGATAAAAAACACGTGGTATGTTGGAGGCTGTCGAGTACCGTGAAGAAAAACTCAGCCGGGGTAGATGTGCTCTCTTCCATGGAGTGGTGTGAAGGGATATTTTGTGCAGAGGTGTGAGTGAGGTCAGAGAGCGAGCCACATAGTAGTCCAGGGAAAGAGCTTTCCAGGCAGGCATGGTATGTTCCAGAAGTAGAAAGGGGACCAGTGTGGGCAAAGGGGAGAGCAGTGGGAAAGGAGGTCAGAGAGGCCTTCAGGAGCGAAATGGGTCGTCTGGTGGGCTGAGGTAGGGGTTTGGATTTTTTTCTGAGTGGGCTTTGAACAGAAGAATGGAATGATAGGACTTCTCTCTTGAAAGGATCTGTAATGTGGAGATTAGACTGCGGAGGGACAAGGGTGAGCACACCAAGACCAGTTAGGAATTTAGCACATGGTGGCAGCGAGGTAGGAGGTGGGCTAGGTGAGAAGTGACACTGGCTCAGATTAAGATTGTAGCAGCAGAGGAGATGGTGAGAGATGCTCACATTCTAGATACATTCTGAAAGTAGAGCCAACAGGATTTGTTAATGGATTGGATGTTGGAAGGAAGAGGAGAGAGGTTGGAATCGAGGCTTCTTTTCTTTTTCTTTTTTTTTTAAACGTTTATTTATTTATTTTGAGAGAGAAAGAGAGAGCACAGAACAGGCAGTGAGAGAGGGAGAGAGAGAGAAAGAGAATCCGAAGCAGGCTCCACACTAGTGGTGCAGAGCCCGACGCGGGGCTCGAACTCGCAAACTGTGAGATCATGACCTGAGCTGAAACCAAGACTCAGATGCTTAACCGACTGAGCCACCCAGGCGCCCCCAGGCTTATTTTCAAGGCTTGTGGCCTGAGCCCATGCAAAAATGGAGTTGTCATTTGCGAAAATGGGGAAGTTGGCTGGGAGAGGTCTTTAATGAGGAGGTTGGTTTGGGGTGCTCTTTAGATATCCAAGTGGAGATGCTGAATAGGCAGTCAGGTATAAGACTGGAGCTCGTGAGAGAGGATAGGGCTGGGGATGTAAACTTGGGGATTGTCAATTTGTAGATGGAGAGTGAGTGCACAGAGAGAGAAGGGGTTTACTATTAAACTAGTTTTAACAGTGAAGCCTTTTCCTTTAACACTGCAAACTCTTTGCCTTGTAAATATGGAGAACAAACAGGGCTTCTGGAGGCGTTGGGGGAGGGGGGATGGGCTAAATGGGTAAGGGGCACTAAGGAATCTACTGCTGAAATCATTGTTGCACTATATGCTAACTAATTTGGATGTAAATTATATATTTTAAAAAATTAGAATAAAAAAACCCGCAAACTCTTTTTCTCATGGAAGATAGACTCCATAAACATGGTATTCTGTCACTGTGTTAGTAAAGATGTTGCTGTAGTTATCAAATGCAATAACCCCCTTCAGATTCAGTGGCACAAAGCCCCGACCGTTTTGTTACGTCCACGGATGCCGTGGGCAGAAATTCAGATAGGCACAGCAGGGGTGGCTGTCTTTGCTGCACAGTGACTGGGCCCCCAGCTGCCTTGAACGTCCAGGGCAGCCATCGTCCGGAGGCTGCTTCACCCACAGATCTGATGCCCAGGCTGGGATGAGTCAAAGGCTCATCTCAGCTGGGACTGCAGACCAAGTGCCTTCACGTGGCCTCTCCTGCCTTGGGCTTCTCACAGGGTGTTGGCTGGGTTCTGGGGAACGAGCCTTCTAAGAGAATCGGACGGAAGGCTTGGAAGTTGCATATCGACACTTCTGTTGTACTCTGTTGGTTGGAGCAGTCGTGGCCTTGGCCAGATTCAAGAGGAGGGGACAAAGACCCCTTGTCTCAATTGGAGGAGTATTAAAGAAGTTAGGGCCGTGTTTTATAACCACCACAAATGCCCTTTGAATTTGAGGTTCTGCCCTAAACCACAGTAACTTTGAAGGAAGGAGTTCCAACGCAGGATCCATGGATGTGTGTTGTCAGCCCCAGTTGTGCATTGCTGCGTACTAAGTGACCAGGATTACCTTAATATCTCTTTAGGGGAAAGTGGCCTGAATAAACTTGGGGAAAGGTTCTTGCTTCTCTCCAGTAAGTAGTGAGCTATATTATGGGTCTGTGATACCAAGATTCAGAAATTTAAGCTCCCTTTCTCTGGTTTATTTCAATTTCCTGTCTTTGAAGAATATTAATAACTTACATAGCATTCCAGATCAGTGGATGCTTTTCTGACTTTGTAATTGGGGCTTTGTCCAAAGATACAATACCCACAGGCTTCTACCAGCCTCTTGCACTTCTTCTCCCTTCAGTTGCCCTCAAGCCTGGAAATTTTGGCATGACACTTTGCTTGCCCAATCCAGTTGTTTCTCAAGGACTATATTCTTTCTGTTTTAATTTTTTTTTTCAACGTTTATTTATTTTTGGGACAGAGAGAGACAGAGCATGAACAGGGGAGGGGCAGAGAGAGAGGGAGATACAGAATCGGAAACAGGCTCCAGGCTCCGAGCCATCAGCCCAGAGCCTGACGCGGGGCTCGAACTCCCGGACCGCGAGATCGTGACCTGGCTGAAGTCGGACACTTAACCGACTGCGCCACCCAGGCGCCCCTCTTCTTTCTGTTTTAAAGAGTTGGCAAAGGGCTCCTGGCTGGCTCAGTCGGTAGAGCATCCAACTCTTGATCTTGGGGTTTTGAGTTCAAGCCCCACATTGGGCGTGGAGCCTACTTTAAATAAAATATATAATAGGGGCACCTGGGCGGCTCAGTTGGTTAAGCATCAGGCTTCAGCTCAGGCCATGATCTCATGGTTCGTGGGTTCGAGCCCAGCATCGGGCTCTATGCTGACAGCTCAGAGCCTGGACTCTACTTCAGATTCTGTGTCTCCCTCTTCCCTTCCCCACTCATGCTCGCGTGCTCTCTCTCTCTCTCTCTCTCTCTCTCTCTCTCAAAAATAAAACATTCAAAAACTTTTTTTAAAAAAATAAAAATGAAAATTGGGGTGCCTGACTGGCTCAGTCAGTAAAGCACGCAACTTTTGATCTTGAGGTTGGTTGGCCTGGCCCTCAGAATAACTCTTCCTAGATGCAGTGTCCTCGCCTGGGAGAATCTGGCTGATTCAACAGAGGGATAATATCCCCGCGGTTTATTCGTTCGGTGCGTGTTTTTGGAGTACCTGTCACGAGCCGGGCACTGTGCTGGATGCTGGGGGGTGAGGGGGAGAACACGCTACTGGGCAGCAGCCAAGGCTCTTCCTGCTCTCGTGGAGCTGGCATCCAGCGGTGGTGGTTATGCGTCGGTTATGGAGTCCTGGTGTTCGGGTCCCTGGCGGCGGCAGGGACAGAAGGAGGTCCGGTGGGGGGTGAGGGGTGTCTTGGTGTTTTTGAGCAGCTAAAAGAAGAGCAGAGCGAGCGCCGGGAGCTCAGCCAGCAGGCTGGGGCCAGCCGAGGCAAGAAAGACAGGGCTCACCAGGCCATCGGTCACATTAATAACACAGACACTTAACATGTTGTGC